GATTGCGATCCGCTAAACTCGTACTTGTTCTAAGTATAGAACGAAAGGTCGGTGACCTCAGTTGCGTTTCCTCAAAGCGCAAAGCTGCGGCAGCCCCGCTGCAAGTATAGCACCTTGTCGTAGAGCTTCTGAGAAGGTCCCCGGTTTAATACCGGGCAGAGGCATGCGTTATTCTGCTGCCTCTGTCGCCGCGAGTGGTAGCAATGACAGAGCTGTTTTGCACCATCGTCTCTCGCGGAAAGCAGTCAAGATGGCTCTCGCGCTGCTGTTTGTGATACGGTGACAGGTGATAAAACGGCAGAGCTGTTTTTCACAAATATTATGCCAACGCGACTTAACGATAGCTATTGTATCAGAGTGAGACTTGCACTAGTTCCGGTAGCCATTATTTAATGTGCTTTGCATTAAATTGGACATAGTTACTGCTGACCATCCGCTTACAAATGGCCCATCTCGTGTGACACACAGCCTTGTTACCAGGGTACGTGTAACCCCGTTACAATAGTCATACACCTGGAGATGCAGAGTATCGATCCCAGTCTCTCGCACGCTAATCGAGCGCTTAACCATTTTTCCTGCCGAACGACTCTGACGATGAAATAGTGCACGAGTTCGAGAGCGGGAAGGCTGATTGCACAGGCAGCATCCTCCGGGGAGAATCGTTAGACCACGTACCGCCGAATGAGGACGGAGGTTGTTGAACATTAACACGAGAGTCACAGGTACTCTCATCGAAACAAGGCGGTACCTTATATTAATATTAAACGGGCAGTCGCAAAGACCGAGTTTTAGCGATGCTTTTACCCATTTAAATTGATGCATAAAAAATTAATTCTGGTGCAAGTGCGCTCAGAAAAGCACGGCGGAGAGAGAAGTGGGAATTCAGACATTGGTTCACTTTTTAGCAAGGTTTCAATAAAAATAAATGTGTGCTTTTGTGTGGTCCATATAATTGTGTAGGGTGTAACTATCATCTTACGTGCCTAACCCTCATGCTTTTGGCACATAAAATTAGGTGCAACCAAACGCAACGTTTGTTAACGCGGCCCCTGAGAATTAAAGCGTTTCTGTGCAAAATGCTCTGCAACCTCGTTGCATCAATTGACATCTTTTAACAATTGGGATCTCGGTTTTGCTCCTGGTAGGAGCAGGACAACTCAGCCTCTTTGCATTTGTTACGCGGACCCGTAGGGTCAAAGCTTCCTGTGTGCAAAGTGCACGGTAACGTTGTTGCAGCAATGGCCTATGTCACAAGTAAAAATTCGAAATTGTCATGCCAATTCGGAATTGACATGCATGATCAGATCATGGGATTGGGAGATTTTTGTAATGTAACGCCCGCCCACTTATATTACGATACACTCGGAATAGAAAATTTGAGCAGCAAAAACAATGCCAAGATATAGATTTTTGATACCATAAAAGTATGGGTGTTCCGTATCATAGCTAGTCATGGAATTTTTCAGGCTCGTCAAAATTGAAGAAATTTGATCACTGCTAGCAATGTTCATCTTTTCTATACAGTCAGGTGGAGCACAAAACTGACGCGTAAACTATACTATCAGAACAGTATTGCTGTGTTTTCGTAGCGATAATACATTCGTTATGCACATCATTGCATGTTTTTTCGAAAGGACGAGCTTTTATGCTTGGCTTTGGAACGGAGCTAATTATGGTTCTGTTGCCACTTTGACAATATGATAATTATTAACTTGCTCACGACAGGTACAAAAAAGATTAAATTGTTTTTAATCACTACATTGTTACTGGAGGAGCTTAGCAGCCTGTTGGTGCGTTTCAGCAGTCACACGAATGGCAAAGAGCTCATTTAACTCGTCCTTACTAAAAGCAAAAAGTACGGCCTTGTCGATCTGCTCAATGGCACGTGAGTACTCTTGCATTGCCATGTACACCTGAGCCAAATGGCAATACGCAAATTTAGAACGCGGGCACATCTCTACGGCCTTCTCAAACAAAGCAAGAGCCTGATGGCCATACTCTGAGCCTTTTTGCACTACCAAGTTACCCTGATTAATGTAGGCCATCGGGTAGGACGGATCCAGCTCAATCGCTTTTTCGAACATTTGCTCAACAGTCTTCATGTCCACACTGCTGCCAGGAATTTGCAGCATCTGCATGTATGTTTCGCCAAGGTAGTTATAAATTTCTGGAATTTCGGGTGTGATGCGTGCTGCCGTCGTAAGGTATTCCACAGCACCTTGAAAGTTGCCGTTGCGCGCATGTGTCACGCCTAGCTGAATGTATGCCATAGCGAAGTCAGGTGCGATACTGATGCACTTTTCTAGGTCCTTCAGCGCAGCTGTCATGGACGACCCATTACTACTTCCGTCGGGTTGCAAATCAATCGAGTGGAGCTGGCCACGGTGAAAAAACGCAGTTGAGCACTCAGACTTTTCTTTAAGGGCCTTGTCAAACCACTCCAGTGCCTTTTTTAGATCCTTTTGGTCAAAGCAAAGACCTCCCATACGGATCTTGGCAAAAATAGAGTGTGGCTTTGAAGCAAGCGCTTTTTCAAATGACTCACGAGCAAATTCAAACTCGCCTCGCAGATGGTGATAGGTACCATTTTCAATTTGAGCAGTGTAGAACGCCTCATCATCGAACTGCACGAGCTTGCATGCAGCGTCAAAGTCCTTAGCAGCCATATCATATTCTTTCTCCTTCTTCAAGGACAATCCCCGCTTGGTCAGTAGTAAGCCACGCTGACGACGATAATCACCTTCATCCGCGATTGACTCTAGCTCAGCCGTGTATTCTTTAGATGATTTTTCGGCAAGAATGTCGTTCTCATCATCACTTGGATGAAACGACGAAAAGTACGATGTGATGAAGAACTGATCGGGCAGATAGCGCATGGGTTTCTGTATGTTTTGCTGGGCGTCCTCAATTTCTCTAGCCGTAATTTCGCTGTGGATACGACTAATCTCCTGAGCTAAATTCTCGTCCACCTGCTCTTGCTTCTCCTCAGCGATTACCAGCAGGCAGACGTAGTCTACCAGAGCGCCACGCAGATCACCGGTACTAGCCCTAGCCTTAGCGCGACGCAGGTAGGACTTGGGGTGGCGCTTATCAAGCTGCAGGGCACTCGTGCAATCCTTCACCACGTTTTCAAAGTTCACTAGCTTTTCGTAGGCTGCGGCACGGTTCGAATACATGACCTTGAGATTTCGAACATCTAGCGGCTGTTGCTGTTCGCACAAAGAGATAGCGACCGAGTATAATTGTACAGCATCGTCGTATTCACCGGCTTTATACTTCTTGGTAGCCAACGAGGCCTCATACTCACCAATGTTTGTGTTAGTGATCGGCTTGGCATCAACATTCTGTGTGACCGGGAATTTCTGCTGCGTTTGCTGTTGTGCTACCTTTGATTTTGAAGCGGTATCAGTCACATGTGACCGCTTTACATCCTTAAGATGCTGATGGTGGTTTCGCTTACGATATAGGCTAATGGCCACAAATGCACTTATCGTGGCCAATGACGCTAGCACCGCGAGCTGCAATACAGCGCGCTGGTCCATGTATAGCTTACGGAAAACAAATTTGTCCTGAAGCCTGAGCAATGGAAACTGCAGAGTTTATAAACTGTAAGTACTAATGATAAGAGCAAAACAGGAGCTTTTTTATCAAACGCGTCAAATTAAATACCCCTAAAAATATTGTTCTTGTTTAAAAATTAAGTTACAACACACAATCTAGAGTGATGACTTAATTGAATATGGGTGGTGTCAGTTCGTTTGAAAATCTGTCAGCTTCTGGCGAATCTTCAGTATTGAAACAGTGCAGTGATCCGTTGGTCGTGAGCAAGTACAATCTTCGACTGGAAACATGTCTGATGCCGCAGTGAACCCCAAGGCTTACCCACTTGCGGACGCCAAGTTGACCGTGTCCATTCTGGACCTTGTGCAACAGGCGACAAACTACAAGCAGATCAAGAAGGGCGCTAATGAAGCTACCAAAACGCTTAACCGCGGTATATCCGAATTTATCGTTATGGCTGCAGACACTGAGCCCCTAGAGATTCTGTTACACCTTCCGCTTTTGTGTGAGGACAAAAATGTACCATACGTGTTTGTGCCATCAAAGGTCGCGCTGGGCCGTGCCTGTGGCGTATCGCGTCCTGTGATTGCTGCCTCGATCACGTCTAATGACGCTTCGCAGTTAGGTCCTCAGATCCAGAGTATGCGCGAGCAGATCGAGCAACTCCTTATTTAAGCGTCCTCGACTAGTACCTGCGGCCAAGAATATGCAGTACGCAACGGATCCATCTGTTATCAAAACTTGAACAGCACTTTAAGTCGTAGTTCATTCATTCGGACAGATAAAAGTTGTTGTGATTCAACTCAATATACGCGCACTTTAAAATGTTACCCCTTCCTGATCACTAATCATCTCGTCATTCTCTATACAGCACATATGAGCACATACTCACGTGTACTTTCACCAAATTTCAACACATCTTTTTCCTTGAGTTCGATATACCGTGAGCTTTCAATTTGGACTCCATTCAAAAAGGTTGAATTGGTGCTGTTTAGATCCATAATATACGGCCGTACTTCTTGCTCAATGGTAGCTGTCTCCTTCTGGTACATTCGATACTGCAACACAGCGTGCTGTTTAGAGCACGACGGGTGCTCTGTCAATATGTCAGCCACCGCTTTATCACGTCCGATCAGAAAAACACTCTTGCGATGCACATGAAGCGTTGCTGCACTCACAAAAGAGTAAGTTGCTTTCAATCTTTGTGGCATTGTGACACTACGCACCTATGTTCTTGTCATTTTTGAACACATACAATCGATAGCGTTTGGTCGGCTGGCGGGCCTCGGGTGGCTCAGAAAATTTCAAAATTACCCCATTCTGCATATTGCCTGTCGTTTGGTCCTTGGCAAGCGCACCAGTGAGTCCAAAATTGGGCTTCTCAATCTGTATAGGCTCTTCTTCCTTCACTTCGTCGTCTACTTTGCCCCATCTACATGAGTCACAACAAAAGATGAGACTACGAACACGGCGCACTAATAATATACGTACTGAACCAAGTGGGAGAAGTCGCGTGTCTTTTTGTCGCATTTGCGTTGGTCATGAGACGGCGGTGAGTTTTCATTACGCTGGCGTCGCAGCAAAGAACTAGATCTTGATCGAATTGGAGATCGCGACCTCGTTTCTTTTTGATTATGACGGGCTCTGATCGATCGGCGCGGTGGTGATCGCGAATGAAAACGTTGGCGACGATGATGACGATCCATTTTAGTGATCTTTTCAAATTCAATTGACTACAAACACTGTCATTTTGACGTCTTTTACACATTAAATGAAGAGCCAGCTTAGTTTCAGATTGAGACGATAAGATGCTGGTGGAAATATGACACAAAAGCAAAAATGCGCGAGAGAAGATGAGTAGACAGCACACGGATCTGCCACTGGCTTTTGCGTAAGGACATTTATATTCTATACGTTCTCAGATAAATCGATTTTTAATAGTTTTAATAGAGCTTGGTCTAATTTCAGGCGCCTAGGTGACGCGCAAATTTATCCGCTTTGCGTAAAAAACGCGGAATAATTGGGTCGAAGTTTTCTCCGTGCGAGGTGCAGGCAATTCTTAATCCATCCAGGAACATCATATTGTTAGAATTGACTATCGAATCGTAATCACTCGTGGGGAAGGAGAATGAGTATTCTCCTATGTGTAACGGGGTTACACGTACCCTTGTAAAAGGGGTGTGGGTCACACGAGATGTGCTTGGTGTGACCACACCCAAACAAGAATGCGGTACGGGGCTAGGTAGCCAGTAGTTATGCATGTATTTAGTATATTTAGGAAAATCTAAACTTTTAAATTAGGCGGCTTTGTCGCAGATAAAAATAAATAAAAATTAGTTTTGGATTTTAAACGGAAGTGCTAATC